TTTAATTCAGGGGTGTACGAAATCTACCCCTATGTTACCATTACCAGTCCTGTCCCGGCATACTGCGATATGACTACAATGGGCGGGGGATGGACGGTTTGTTGTTTATTTTAATATAAGGCATATTATACAATTTATTTCACACTCAATGTTTTGTTGTTTTGTTGTTTAACAGAATATGGACTGAAAAATATTCTTAGCTTATATCATAACATATTGATCCCTCAAATGTTAAAAACAATGATTTGCTATACGTGTTAACTTTAAAGGCAATCCAAAAGCGAATTAATGGATCCCTGGACTTTGACAGGACCTGGACGGAATATAAAAATGGTTTTGGCGCCCCAGAACAGGATGTCTGGGTTGGTAAGTGTAAATTGCTTGCAAATAGGAACTTTTATTCCTTCAAAATTTAAAAAAAATACGTGTGTCAGGTAATAGATTGAAGCATAATAAAGATCTGAGCTTAATACTTGGTAATATGTGTTCTACGATAAACACATATCATGTTAGACTGATATATCAAATAAAGAGTAAAAAGAAAAGAAGAAAATCATTATCTTAATTCAGGAAATGACGTTATCCATCAATTAACCAAAGAAGGTACCTCATCCCTGTATGTGACCATAACTCTACAGAATAGTACAACGCTGTATGAAATGTACGACGGATTCTCTGTCTCCGACGAAGCAGGAAAATATCAACTCTTTCTTGCAGGACCTGCCACGGGAACCTTGGGTAAGTGTATCTACGTTAATTCCTAAAGGTATGTCGCACGTGAAATTTGTGAGATCAAGGATTTTTTAGAAGTATATTTTAGATAAGTTCTCATATAGTGTGACTCAAAATTGCAGGAAAAATAGTGTGTCAGTGTGCATCCTATTGATCTACGATACAATTAAGTTGACCTTTTTTCACTCAAACTCTAAATTTTGAAAAATTGAGTTAACTTTTATCATATTGAACCAGATGTAACCAAGGCAATAAATTTAATTTTTTTTTTTACGTAAAAAAGTTTGAATAATATCTATCATTGAACAAAACTTGCAAATTAGTGCGCGTAAATTATTGTGTGACCTTTTTGCACCAAAAAAGTAACATTTTTGGTGTATGAAAATAATTAAAAGCCAATAAAACATTTTCTTAAATGAATATTTTTTCCACTTTTGTGCTGATTAGTCACAAGAATCGAGAACTTCAAAATAATGAAAGAGAAAGTTGGGGTCAGTGATGTTAAATTTGAAATATTAGTCAAAATATGTGATTTTCAGGTGAAAAATGCTGTAAATTTTATCTTGACTTATTAGACATATCTTCATTTTTGGCAAATTTTGTTGAAGGAAGGTGTAAAACGTGTTCTAAGAATATGTATCCAAATTAATATTAGATATTTCAGTTATATCATAACGGAACATATCTCCGAGTAAAAGTTGTGAGGCTAAAGTTCTAGGATATTCAATTTAAAAAATGTGCAGATTTGAAGAATTATCTGCTAACAAGTGTAACACGTCTGTTGTTTATTGTTACACTAGAAAGGATGTTATGTGAATTACGCAGTGTTTTGTTGTTTTGTATTATTTTTATCTCTCTTTCCAGGAAACAACACTTTAAACTGCGTATCTCAGATTTACTTAAATATCAAAATCAATGTGATATGAATTAATAATTATTATCTCTGTTATGTATTGTTTTTCTAAATCTGCAGGTGCCAGTATTAAGACACCCGGGATTCAATGACTGAACTAAATAAATATTATCACTCTTTCCATCACCTAAAGCTGTCTATCTTAGAATTACCTCAGTATTATTAATGACAGTTAGATAGAATATATATAAATCAATTATCTCTGTGATTCCTTTGTTTAACTTTACAGGAGACAGTATGTTTGACACGGGTTCTTCTAACTTTGACCTGTCTGGGATGTCATTCTCCACCCAAGACAGAGACAATGACAGACGGAGTTCTAACTGTGCTGCTCACAGTAACATTAGAGGAGGCTGGTGGTTTCACGACTGTCACCAGGCCTTCCTCAACGGTCAATTGTCCCCGGGGTCTTGGATGTATCCATGAAATCCCACAGTAACGAGTGGGACATCAGTGAGGGGGGCCACCATGATGATCAGACGGAACTAGGTAAACATCATTACATTTTAATGTCAATTTTTTTATGTTTGTATTACTCTGAAAATTTCAGCTATAAAAGTTGTTTTTAATAGAAAAAATATGCTATCCTAAATTTATCTGTGAAGTATTAATTTAATTTTTTTTAACAGACGAAAGATCATCCATGGATTATGGAAACCTTCAAGAGACGGTTTTAAATCAATTTTTATTGCTGAGTTCTTTTTTTTTAAATATTTAACATCAAGTAACAAACAGTAAAAGAAGGGTGTTGAACTGCTCTGTAAAGCGATACTGAATATATTCAGTAAAAGATGTACTTTATATGTGTTGTAATAAATTTGAAAATAGAAAAAATTCGTTGTTTTTTTCCAAACACTGATAAATGGAGATAACTGGGCGGAGAATTGGGATGACGATTACTTTATTGTTAAACCTATTACAGTGGAACCTGTTTAATCCGACACATGCAATACTCTTTTCAGTGATTTCCAGCTATTTAATTTCATTTGTCATTTATACATATCTCAATGATTTTTACACGCGACAATACTTACTTTGTTTATTCCGACAAATATATTTAATATCTGTTCCCCGTGCATGTCGGATAAGACAAGTTTCATTGTAATAAAGATGTTTAGATGTACGTATTTAAAAAAAATTCATAGGTATATTTGATGGTCATGTTTTGAGGTACAATGCATCTAAGATTATACTTCTCTAAAAACATATCCCCATCTTTTTCCATCCATGCAGTATTTTTATTTTTAATGAATGAGCATTTAATTATCCATTAATCTACTTGAAACCGCTTAAATTGAAATTATCGTTATTTTAATATCATGGAGAAAATAAGCTAAAATGTTGAAGTGAGGCATACTGAACATTTCTTTCCACAAATCTAATTATACCATAAATATTTAGATAGCTTGAATTTTAGGTGTGACAAGAAGCACAATGATACTAGATTCTCAATGATACTAGATCATAAGCTTAAAGTAAGACGAAATCACATTTTCTGAAGAGTGGTATCTTCTATTGCTACAGAAAATCATTGAAGAAAAATTTCTGCTCTTGAATGCACAATATACGTAATAGCAGACTTATATCGATACTGTAATTTTTTTATTTGTATTTTTTTTATTTCAAAACACCCTAACGCAGATTGGGGGTCAAAAGGTAACATGTGTAATATGCATTTTGTTCTGACGTCACAAACGTTAAAAGCAAAATTTGATATCATTTAAATTTATTGTTATTTAGGTTAGAGATAATTCAAGTAAGTTAGAAAAAAATATCAAATTTGCAAAACAAGACAAGGAGTTAGAAAAATATAAGCACTGATTCATTATTTTTTGAAAGATGTTATCTTGTAACTGCAACTGTCTTTGCAAATAAAACATAGCGAGCTAACATAAATCAGTATGTTTGCAAATACCTTTGCAATTATGAGACTACATCTTTTAAACAAAATGATTCAATATGTGTGACAGGTCTTCTCTATTATACAGTGTGTAGACTATTGTTTATATATATCCAAAACTGTGAAAGACTACAACTTGAAATTTGTTATTAAATCAATAGGAAAAGTCTTCGGAGCTAATGATGAAAAACCAAGATAAGTTTGTGACACAAAGAGGCTTATGATTAATGTAGTCGTTTGCAGGTCAAACACCAAGGTCAATATAAAACTAGTTTTGGTACCAAAAGAAACGTTTCTCACATTGAGTCTACCTTCTAAAAAAAACAATAAAAGCAGCAACAGTTCAATAATTAGTACCAAAATTAGAGATTTTCATAAGTAGGTCAAACTGGACAAGGTCAAGGATTCAATATTAATGATGCCCAAAAGAATTTCAGAAAGAATATACAGGTGAAATATAAAAGTCACGGAATCAACCATTCAAAAGTTATAACCAAAGTTTTTCAAAAGAAGTCAAAGTCTGATGTCCAAATAAAAGGATATAGAATAAAAAGAAAATATTGGTATTCAAGAGAAGTTCTTACCACGAGAAATGAACCGGTAAAATAGTTAACCCCTAGCACTAAATATTCAGTAAAAGCGTCCAAAGTTAACGTTTTTTAAAAGTAGGTCAAATCCATAAGTTCAAGATTAAAGGTCATTACTCTTTGTACTCAAGAGAAGGTCTTATCAAATTATGAGTGTGAGGAGTATGATATCACTTGATTTAACCGTGTAATAGCTACGCTAAGATTAAAAGTTTGAAAATTTTTCTAAAAGTGAGTCAAACGTAAAGATCAAAATCTAAAATACTTGTACCCTAGGAAAAGTTTTTACACGTGGAATACATCAGTGAAATATAAAAATCATATCTCATTGGTCGAGGCTTAATTTATCATATGAAAGTCAAAATAAAGAAAAAAAATTAAACCCAAGGATAGGTTCTTTTATATTATATCCATCTGTGAAGTATGAAATCTATAGCTCAAACCAATTAAAGGCTGCAGTCAGGGCTAATTGATTTCCCCACTTACAGATAAATCAAAAAAAAAATCACAAGCAAACAGACAGATGGACCGATCGTAACAGCAAAATATATTTGTCCCTTATTTTTTGGATTACGGATAGAAATTAATGAAAAAAAATAACACTTTGTGCTAAAATGTTTGTACGTATGGTGTGAAGAGATACCGGCGTAAGTTTCCTTAGGAAAATAAGGAAACAATATAATGCACAGTCTGTCTTTGTGTACACGCTATTCATAGTTTATTTAAAACATAAGGATAAATCTACATGTCTTCCGAGGAGACGAATATACGATCCGAGGATAAATCTAGATGTCTTTCGAGGTGTCGAATATGCGATCCGAGGATAAATCTAGATCTCTTCCGAGGAGATGAATAATCAACCCGAAGTAAACTTAAGAAAATTTCATTTAACTTTAACTTTAACATAGAACTCTTTACACCATATTTAATGAAATTATATACAAAAAAGATAAAGGTTGCAAATGTTTATTTTAATTTAAAGAAAATAAAACATTAATTTACAGAACACTTTTCTGGCTCCAAATAAAATGGAAAATCCTCACAAATAAAGGGAAGTTTTAATCCGCTGTCTCCTGTATATTACGTGCAGTTTCTATCAGTCACCAAGCGCCACCTGCCGTCGTTATGATAAGTCAAAAGGAGGCCAAAGATTGGATCAACTGCTGTCTCGCCCTCGTCGTTAGGATTTCAGTTCTGATACGTAATTGGTGTCCATTTACCAAAAATGAGTCTTTCATTGTCGTTAAATGTCAAAACATTGGCACGAAATGCAAATGAACCGTTGAGATCAACTTCTGCAGAAAAGGACAATAAAAAAATCATATCATCTTCAAATTTTAAACACCACCGATACAAGACGAGTTGTTGCTTTACATCCTACATGCTCGAAAAAAATTATAAAATTTGATCTAAGGCACCCAAATTGAACAGACATTTGAAGAGACTGCTTTCTCTTTTTTGCGTCGTGGTAAATGTACCAATAGAATATTTTCTAACAAGCATTAGCAAACCTAGGCCAAACTTTATTTCAATTTGAATAACAAATGAACATAATGTTTATGGATGAAATTAGAAATTAACAATTTTGATACACTGCAGAAATATATTTTCCAGAATTAATGTGCACTTTTTTATTTGAAGTTTATTTAAATATGATGT